TTGTAAAATATTAAAAAAGTTTCAATTGAATAATAAGTATTTTAAATAAGACAGTGTATGATATAATTATAATGTTATAATATTAGAGTCTACAGGTTTGATAATCAAATTAAAGTGAATGAGAGAAAAGAATATTAGAATTATACACTTACAATTGCAAGAAAATTTGATGGTCCAGATTTATTAAAAAAAAATTTATACAGATGCGGGCTAGTGAGTGCGAATACTGGTAAAACTCACGATTCGCTCACAATCCGCAAAACAGAAAAATTCTAAACCACATCCGATCTTAACAATTCTGTGAAATCGCCTAAGGGTTGGTTTGGGAAATGGGTTGATTTTTTGACTTTTTAACTTTTTTGACTATTTTGAGAAGGACTTTTTGACTTTTTAATTTTTTTAAATTTTTTGTGAGAGAAGAGTATAATGATTATACGTTAAATGTGATATTTTATTTATTGTGACTAAAATAATCTATTTTGTCTTTTGTGACTATTTTAAGCACAAATCTTCTCGAACAGACCCTAATAGGTTTATATTGGATAACTTTCGCAAGTCATATGCCTAGCCGAAAAATGCTTGGGAGCACTAATTAGTGCTCCCACTAATTAGGTGGCAGTGGGTCCTGTCATTAATGATGTGATGTTTTGGTCTTGGAGTTGTATTTTTTTTTTTTTTTTACTTTTTTAATGCATTAGTGTTATTAGTGGTGATGTTTTTAGTGAGATGAATTATTGTTGATGCCTAGCCCTACGACAAGGAGCCATTTAGACCTTTCACATCACCTCCCCGCACCACAACCATCTCTCTCTCTGGAAATGAAAAATGCTTGGGAGCACTAATTAGTGCTCCCACTAATTAGGTGACAGTGGGTCTCGCAATTAATGATGTGATATTTTGATATTTTTTTTATTGTTTTTACTTTTTTAATGCATTAGTGCTATTAGTGGTGATATTTTTAGTGGAATGAATCATTGTTGCTCTGGAAATAATAGAAATGGCCTGTACAAATTACACCTTACCCTGCTCCGTTTTTCACTTTATTCCTTCAAATTAAAAAATAATATAATATATTTTTTATCTTTTGAAAGTTTTTCATCAAATTCTTATATCTCTATTTAGTTAACAAAATATATGAAAAATGTGCATAAAATATGTACATGTAATATTTATAACAGATCTTTAAAAGATATTTTCATGATAAATATGGCAGATGCATATTAGACTATTTTCAACCCCAACTCAAATCTTTTATCAAATTTAAATTTAATAAAAACAATATTCTAATCGTTTCACCAAATTAGTATTAAATGAAGATAACCCTATTTTTTTTTATCAAATTAAAGAAATATTTAACCTTTTATCAAATATTGTAGATGATCATTGGTGAACGATCAAATGGATAACTAGACAGACTACTGGGTGGACGATAGATTAGACAACCAAGTGGATGATCGGATTGAGAATAATTTGAAAAAAAAATTATACTAGGCCTTATGACCACCCGGATATTCTTCTAATTGACTGATTATTTGGTAACAATAAAAAATTTAGTATTGGAATACTTGGTATTGAATAAAGTTTTTAACTTAAATCTTTATTTAAATTTAATAATAAAAAAAGAATAAACATTAGAAAGATGCTCTTATATATATATATATATATGTTTTTTTTGGTTTTGTCAAATTGAGACATAAGGCGTTGCTTGGAAAGGGAGGCCAGCGGCTATTTTAGCTTCATTCAAGAAAAAAAAGCTTAAGGCATGGTTTGGGAGGAGGGTTTGGGATTTTTTTAGTTAAAGTAGTTATAAAAAATAAACTAAATTTTTTAACTTAATAAAATAAAACTTCGCATCTAATTCATAATTATTATATTTTTTCTTTCACAAAAAAATTTAAAAAATTAAAAGTTCTTCTCAAACTAAACTTTCTGACTTCAAATTAAAATAATCAAAAAAATCAAAAAATCAACTCACTTAAGCTCCGTTTGAAAAGTTGGTTTAGAGGTTTTTTTGACTAAAATAACCACAGAAAATAAAATAAATTTTTTAATCTAACAAGACAAAACATCATATTTAATTTACAATTATTATCTTGTTTCTCTCACAAACAAATTAAAAAATTAAAAAAATCAAAAACCTTCCTCAAACTAGATTTTTTAACCTCAAATTTCTCAAAGCCTCCGTTTGGGAAGTGGGTTGGCTTTTTAGTTTTTTGGCTTTTTTGGCTATTTTAGCCTGGGCTTAAAAGCTTGGTTTGGGAAGGATTTTTTGGCTTTTTGGCTTTTTGGCTTTTTTGAGTTTTTTTGTAAGAGAAGAATGTAATGATTATGGGTTGGATGTGATGTTTTGTTTGTTATGGCTAAAATAGCCTATTTTATTTTTTGTGGCTAAAATAGCCAAAAAAGCCCAAACTATGGCTTCCCAAACGAAGCCAAACTGAACTTTACTAAACCATGCCTAAAAGCCTTTATTGTAGCTGAGATAAGGCACGTGGGTTGAGGTTGTGCAAGACAGAAGGTAAAATGACGATTGTGCCTTTTAAAATTATGACTAACAAACCAGCTCGGCAGTCCCATCACAATATCTCTCTTATCTCTCTCAAATAGTGCTTCTCAAACAGTGTTTGACCTGTGCTTCCCAAACAGTGCCACGTCGGCATTTGTTTTTTTGGGTTGAAAATGATGAGTTCTCCCCGGGAGCAATTTCGTCATTTTTCATCCCAACATAATTTCGCATACATTTTTCAATACAATAATCAAATAAAAAAATCTAACCCATTTTCTCAAACATAAAAACTAAAATAATTTATTAAAATAATAAAAAAAAACTTAAAAGTAAATACCTTGCAAATGAAGCCAAAAGGTTATATTAAAAAATTTTAGAAGAGTATGTTTTATTAATTTTTAGTTTGATAGCGTAAAGTAAAAAAATGGGGATAATTGTTTTTCTACATATTTGGGATTGGTTTATGATGATTTAAATAAATATATTTTTTAATTTTTTATAAAATATGAGTTAGGTATGGATTGAATTTGAAGTGATGTGGTAGAGAGGTAATGTAACTTAAATAGGATAGTGACTTTTTGACTTTTTTAAGAGATGACAAATAAGGCCTTATTATTCTTAGGCTTGGTTTGGGAAGTGAGTTGACTTTTTGGTTTTTTTGGCTATTTTAGCCTGGGCTAAAAAGTTTAGTTTGGGAAGGACTTTTTGACTTTTTGATTTTTTTTGTGAGAGAAAAGTGTAATAATTATGGATTGGATGTGATGTTTTGTTTTGTTTGTTGTGGTTAAAATAGCCTATTTTGTCTTTTATGGCTAAAATAACCAAAAAAAAGCCTGAAATCTTGCTTCCCAAACGGTGCCTTAGTGTACACACTTAATGAACATTTTTCAGTACACATTATAAAAATATAAATTTTCAATACACATTTCTATATTTCAATATTACCCTCATTTTCAATTTTAAAATCCTAAGGCTATGTTTGATTTCAATTTTTGAATTAATTTTTTGAAATTTTTATGAAAAAAATATAAATTAATTTGATAAAAAATAAATACCAAAAAAGTATTTTTTTAATTTTAAAATTTTTTTGCCCCTAACAAGATGAAATCATATTGAAATAAGTAATTTTATTTATTTATTTTTGAAAACATGTTCTAAAATTATACTTGATTGTTTAGGATGACCTAAATAAGTGTATTTTTTGTCTTTTTACGAAAAGATGTACAGCAAAGTAGAAAGGTGATGTGATGAAAAAAAGATAAAAAGATTGATTATTTTGTGTATGCCAAACTTGACCTAAACAGAGTCTAATTTTATGATATTTTAGAAATAGGACTTGAATGGAAGAAAATGAGAGTATTATGATATTTTTATTTTATGACAAAATTATATTAATCAATTTTTTTATTAAGTGCGCGGATTGAGTGGAATTAGTGTGCAGAAATAAAATTAAAAAAATGCTATAGGTTCTAAATTTTTTACCAAATAAATGATTAAATATCCCACATGAATATGTGGTCCATAAAATTGTAGACTCCATATCTATATAAGATATTTAATCATTTATTTAATAAAAAATTTAGTATCCAGCATTACCCATGAAATTATCAAAAAAATGGTGTGATAATTAGAGGGGGTAAGGTGTAATTTGCCCACAGTTCTCTTCTTTTCTAGTACAATCTGCCAAGACCGAGGAATGGAGGTCTGAAAATGGAGAAACCCTCCTTGTCTCCAAACTCCATCTCTAAGACTTGTTCTCTGTCCAAACCCTCCTCCTCCTCATTCTATGTACACACAGATAATCTTCCATTACTCAGAGAAAAAGGCAATTTGGCTAACTCTGTATCCATGGACGACGATGCTCAACAACATAACCTAACATTCACTGAAACGCATACAATGAAGGAAAAACCACAACAATTCACTTCACTTGATGAAGCCGACCCCACTGTATCTCTCTCTCTCTCTCTCTCTCTCTCTCTCTGCATGATGCATGTATAAAAAAAACCTAAAAATGTTTGACTATTGGTAGGTTGAGGAGGAGAGACCAAGTGCGGCCAAGAAATGGCGAATCGGGATTAAGAACAGATTCGCGACAAAGCAAGTGAGGGTTTGTTTAATTTAAACCCCATTCTGAAATTTTTGATTTCTGCCTCTGCCTCTGCCTCTGAATATCTCATATAAATATATGGTCCATAAAATTATAAACCCTACATCTATATAAGATATTTGATCATTTATTTGATAAAAAATTTAGGCCTAGTTTGGGAAGATTGAAAAAAGACAAAAAGTCAAAAAGTCACTATCCTATTTAAGTCACATCATCTTATTTAAGTCACATCACCTCTCTAACACATCACTTCAAACCCAACCCAAACCCAACCCATATTTCATAAAAAGTCAAAAAGTGCACTTATTTAGTCTTCCCAAACTAGGCCTTAGTATCCTACATTACCCATTAAATTATCAAAAAAATGGTGAGATAATTAGAGGGGGTAAGGTGTAATTTGCCCACAGTTCTCTTCTTTTCTAGTACGATCTGCCAAGACCGAGGAATGGAGGTCTGAAAATGGAGAAACCCTCCTCGTCTCCAAACTCCATCTCTAAAACTTGTTCTCTGTCCAACCCCTCGTCCTCCTCATTCTATGTACACACAGATAATCTTCCATTACTCAGAGAAAAAAGCAATTTGGGTAACTCTGTATCCATGGACGACGATGCTCAACAACATAACCTAACATTCACTGAAACGCATACAATGAAGGAAAAACCACAACAATTCACTTCACTTGATGAAGCCGACCCCACTGTATCTCTCTCTCTCTCTCTCTCTCTCTCTCTCTGTGCATGATGCATGTATAAAAAAAACCTAAAAATGTTTGACTATTGGTAGGTTGAGGAGGAGAGGCCAAGTGCGGCCAAGAAATGGCGAATCGGGATTAAGAACAGATTCGAGACAAAGCAAGTGAGGGTTTGTTTAATTTAAACCCCATTCTGAAAATTTTGATTTCTGCCTCTGATCTGTGATGAATGATATGCAACACCCTCTTCAATGATTCCGTACTGTCACTGTCACTGTCTATAGCAGATTTGTGTTTTTATCACTGCTAGATCAACCAAAATCACATATAGATGCGAACGTTTTCTCTCACATTGGTGATTTCGGTGAGCGAAAATCTTGTTGGGTTGGTTGGATCTGCAGCATTGCAGTACCCAAAGAAAAAATATTTAAAATTCTGAACACTTTTTCTGAATATTTAAATGAGTTACTTACATTAAATATGCTGCAAATGAATTCAATGGTAATTTTTTATTTTTTATTTTTTTTCATTCAAATTGATTAAAATGATAAGTTGATGGGAAAATATATTGTGATTCTTAATGCAGATAGTTTCTGATGATCCAAGGAAAAGTGAATGGTGAGTGAATTTATGTCTTCTTTTTTTCCTTTCTTTCTGAAGTAAGGAACATTTATTAAAGACTGAATGTCCTTGCTGATCCTTCCTGTTTGATTTACATAAAGTCGCAAAAGGAAGAGGGGGATAATGGATGACTTGTATGATCATTTCGAAGCTAAGTCTTCTCTAGTCATGAAAAGAGCAGAAGAGGTTCAAGCAAGTTTGTCTCCAGAATTTCCTAGCTTCGTTAAGTTGATGCTCCGGTCACATGTTACCTACTGTTTTTGGATGGTTAGCACCAAATTATGGTCCAATATTTTATTTAAACATGGACTGCAGAATTTGTTTGTGCTAACCAATCTGATGGCAGGGCCTTCCTTCGAAATTTTGCAAATCGCACTTGCCAGGGCATGATGAAACAGTCGTTTTGGAGGATGAAAGTGGGGAAGAATACAAAACAAAGTTCCTTGCTGTTAGCCATGGACTTAGTGGTGGATGGCGAGGGTTTGCCAAGGTGAAAAAATTGCTTGAAGGTGATGCTGTAGTTTTCCATTTGGTCAGGTCTTGCAAATTTAAGGTAATCATTCAAGCTTATTGTTATGTTTATTCCCCACTTGTGATTTCGACTAAGAAGCATTGACATTTCTAAGAAGGCGGCGTGTTGTATCTTACACGCAACACTTATCAGCCACCTCTCGACACCTATCAAACATACTTCCAAACATGTCTTACTGTTTTTATTAAAAAAATTCGAGACTCGGTCACATTTCAAACATTGGGGAACACATATGACTATCACTTAGACACATGTTTAGAAATTAGTGTTACATTACATTTTATTATCTTTGAATTAATTATTTATATACACGACATAAAATAATTGTTTATCCTTATGTAGTAAATTTATAAGATTATATATTTTTTACATGCCCCCGACGGGTTGTGTCCTATACTTCTTAAAAATTTCCATGTTGACGTGTTTGTATCATGTTCGTGTCTATGTCCATGCTTCTTAGGATTTCGGTGTTTTCTCAAATTTTAGTACTATCCATTTAAAAACCATATACTGCAAATGACAGATGAAAACATAGTTAAGAAGCTTTGGGATCATTAACAAACCAATATCTGTCACCCGAGGTGAATCAATGATTAGTATATAAATTAATTCTGAGAAAGATGGCTTATTATGGGGCTATTTCAGATAAGCATTCTTCACTTCTGATTTACTAGAAAAACATAAAGTAGAAGTATCGGGAAAAATAGGTGGATCTAAAGGAACACCAGTTTAGTTATGATCATTATGTTTTTCCACCCTTTTTCATTTATTTTTATGTACAAGAATAGAAAGAAAAGGAAAGGAGTGATAAATTCTGGTCCAAACCCTTGTCAGATCAAAGATCTTCTTACTAGTTTTTTGTAAAATGGGCTTGTTTTCCTGCACGCGGAGTTGTTCCTTGTTCAGCTTATATCAATGCTTGGTTGTGACGTCCCACCCACTTTTTATAGGTACATATAGTGAGAGCAAATGATTTGGCTATCGTTGACAGAGCTCCTGAACCTGTGTATTTTGATGCTCGTGCAGAAGAAACTGATTTTGGTGAGTAGTGCTTCTCCATTTTGCGCCACAATTGTTTTTGAATGATTCCTCTAAGTTACATTCTTTAATTTCCTTATTGGTACACTTCACTAAGCTTATGCAGAGAAGAATAGCAGAACATGTGAGAAGGCAGAGGAAAATCATTCAAGGCTTGTTCCGCCTAACATTCTTGGGGAGAATCCCCGGCCTGTTACAGATCAGTCTGAGAGTGAAACAGATCAGTCTGAGAATGATACAGAAAATCTTTACTCATCAGACATGGAAGGTTACGGATTATCAGGATCTATTGCTGATTTTAATAACTTCAACATTATTGTGAATGGCTTGCCCATTGACCATACGCTCTCCCAACACACACGGACCAAGTACTATGATCTCTGCTGCACTCAGAAATCATATCTGCACAACCACCTTCTCAAGAGCGTTGACACTAAATTGGCAGCTGAAATTGTTTCCAAGACAATTACTATTGCTGACTCAATTAGAGCTTCGAAGCTTTCCTCTACATCAGAAGATGATTTTGCAATTTGGGACAAGACTTTGGAAGCCTTTGAGATGTTGGGCATGGATGTTGGATTTTTACGTGCCCGGCTGAACCGACTTGTGAGGATCGCATCGGAGTTGACTGTTGCTGCAGATTCAAAGAGGTACGATGAAGCTAAAGTTGAGCGGGACCGCGTTGAAGTGGAGATGAGGAGTCTTGAACTAAGGCTTCTGGAATTAAAACAGGCTAGGAGTAGGCTTGATTATGAGATGGAGGGTTTGAATGAGAAGGTGACGAGGTATGAGGTTATGTTTCAGGGAGTTGCCAATGGTTTCTGGTGAAGACTGGTAAAAAACTGTGTTTATGCTTTTTTGTACAAAGGGTTGCTGCCAAGTGGCCGTCTGTGCCTGTAGTGTATGTTTGGCAGATTTTGTGTACATCAACTAATCAGAATAGTGTATGGAGGAAATATGTATCTATACTATCTATACTAATGTATAAAGTGAAGGTTGGAGCTGGTGTTTGATTGTCATAGTTTTTTTTTTTTACAAAATGCCCCCAACTATGGGAATTGCTCTAAAGTCGTTCTCTTAGATATACCTGCTTCAAAATCATAGTTATCATGCACTTACAAATTGCACACACGCGTGTTTGATTGGGGGATCGGAGGGGGGACTATTCACTATTTGGATTACAATCTAAATAGTGTTTCTTATCCGCTGTTTGATTTTTTTTTAGTCCGCCGGACATGGAGTCCGGCCGGACTCCATGTCCCCCATATGGGGGACTATTGTGTCCTGGGGGTGGGATAGAATGTGGGGGACTATTCACGGGAGCTTCTATTTACACATCCACCTTCCCCTCTTTGCACACACTTCATAAAAATTATTTTTATTATAAATTTTTTTTTTCAGGTGAAATTACTATTATAGACATCAAATAAATCCATTCGGAAGTTGATTGTCGAAAAAATAATAAAAATTCGGAAATCTACTTCCGAACCAATTGTTTATTTTCGGAAAGCTACTTCCGAACCAATTGCTTATTTTCGGAAATCTACTTCCGAACCAATTATTTATTGAAAAAGATGTGTAAAGAGGGGAATGAGTGTGTGTAAATAGAAGCTCCCACTATTCACTGTTGGGATTAGATGCGAAAATGATCATTTTGACCCTCTACTATTTAATTATGTATTATATTTAATAAAATTCAATAAAATTTAAATGTCTCAATTTAAAAATAAAATAATTTTATTTAACTTTTTATTAATGTTTTATGTTTCTTTGTTTTTCTTTTTACTTTTTTTCTTTTTTTTTTTTTTTTTGTTTACTATAAAGAATGTATAATTCTTTTAAATTTTATTAACTAATACTTTTAAATCACTCATAAACAAGATTATTTTTTTGAATTTTCTGCATCCACAAAAGGTGTTTAATGTTTACTAAAAATAATTAAAATATTAAAGATATGTTTAATATTGCTGTTACTTAGTAAACAATTGAAAAAGGGTAAAATAGTCTTTTGTTCATTTATCCTATCCAGTCCGTCCAACCAAACGTTGGATTCACTGAAAATAGTCCTATCCAGACATCTAATCCCATGAAAAAACAAACACAGGATACATATCCAATCCGACCAAATAGTCCGGGGGATTCACAGTCCCAGGACTCAAGTCCGATGGATTCTAATCCCTCCTTTTCCAGCCCGTCCAATCAAACATGTATACCTACCTCTAGTCTTGTATATTCCTACTGGAAACTCTTTTTGCAAGTTGTATTAGTTTCTTGAGTAATTTATTATGGAGGACAAATTGAGAATAGTGATGGGAATGGGAAGTTTTTATTAGCTAATGTTATGTTAGGTTTATTAGATTGAATGCAGAGTAGAACAAAATGCTCATTATTTATAATTTGTAATGTATTGGTACACTAAACATGGGAAAAAATATTTTACTCGATTTTATTTCAATAAACTAAACACTATTTGAGAATGTATGATATTACAGAATCCATAAGCACAAAATCACAAAAATTGACCCTTCAAATGAAGTGCTGAAAAAGTCAGACATGACACTTTTGTACAAAGAATAAACATTTCAAGAAATGGTGGTAGAAATCTTTGGGTTTGAGGCTTGTTTTGATCCCTTATCTTGATCCAAAGTATGCCATTTTTCCTCCTTTTATTGTTATCGACATGATTTTTTACAAAAATAGTTATCTGTTTTAAGACTTTCTGAATTCTATTGACGGCCAAAACATTTTCTTCATATCTAACTCAACCCAAAACTTTCTTAAAAAGTCTGATGGCCTCTTAACCTTTATATATTCAGAATATTACTCACAAATGTTTTGAAATTTCAATGTGACTATAGACTTTATTAAACTATACTGTTGCCTACAGTCATAACATTGCATGCGCACAATCAGCATTTTGGATAATACATGCTTGTTCTTTACCAAGATCGACAAAAAATAACAATTAAAGTTGACAATAAAAAGAAAATTTTCTCCTGATCCAGAAGAGTAGTGTGCAAAGCCTTCAAAACCAGGCAAAAATGAAAATCATGTCAGAGAAAGTGCATTAATAGCACAAGCTCACAACTTTGCCACTTGCTGACTGAAAGTCGGGTCAATGCAAACAACCACCTGTAAGATTTTTTTGGGTCAGAAGATTTTCAGCAATGCATAACAGAAAATACGCAAAGAAATAAGCATGTTAAGATCTTAAAAAAAAATCCATACCTTGCCGACGCTTCTACCAGAATGAAGATACTCAACTGCATTAGCAACAGAATGGAGGCCCAAAAACTTTTTGGGGTCTACAGCAACCTATCACAAAAATATGAGCAAGTTGTTGCTTACACCTAAAAGAAATAATTTAGGATAGGTACTAGTTAGCAAATTGTTGGTTGTATAATTTGTATAAGTCAATCACAATTCAACACGTGGCATGAAAATGTCAATTTATGAAGGTAATATAAATTGCCAACCATAGTCAGACACGTGTCAACCCATACTGGTAATAATGGGTCTGCGTAGCACTAGAATGATCGAGGGATATAAGGTGATGTGGCTTAACGGTTACTCACAAGAATCAAATTCAAAATCAAGAAGGAAGCCTAACTGCAAACATGGCGTAGTGAGGCTGACTGTGAGATAGCATGTTCAGCGATCATGGAGGGACATTTCGACGGTTAGGAGCTCACTTCGACGGTTATCATTGAGAAGTATAAATAACAGAGAAAGCCCCAGAAAGGAAGATCCAGACTCAGATCAAAAAACTAATTTTATCTACTTTATTTTTCCTTCTAGTTTTTACAATTCTTTACATTTCTGTACTTCAAATTCCCGTATTGCACTTTATCTATAAGAGTAATTTCAAATAGCTTGTTGCTATAAATCTCTACGAGGCTGGATCAGATCATTGTAAGTTTTTCATTTTACTTAATGAAATTTTGAAATTATTCTTCACTTAATTGTTATTTACTAAATTCTTCTATACAAGCCACCAATAAAAGTCCTCTTCATTGAGGCTGAAAGAACTAAAACGCAATCGTCTAATAATTGGTTGGCAATTAATTTTCTGTAAGGACTGATTGATCCTTGTTAGCACGCTTAAAATTACAACACTAACATTCAAAAGTCAAAAAAGCCAACATATATTTTTGGTACGCCCGGTAGGACTAATTGAAATGGTTAGACGTAGAAGACAATGAGAAAATGAACACCTAGAAGAAGGTGTGGAAGAAGAGGTAGGGTACCTGATCCAGAGGATAATGTGATAACACATCCTATGGAAGCACCTATCTCATCAGAACCTATGGTCAAATAGACCAGTAATGCAGAACATGCACCACATGTCCAGAATATTGGACAAGGCCATAGAATTGGATCATCCACTGTTCTATCTGCTTAGTCAATGAATCCATAGGGAGGCTTAGTAGATGCCATGGGATAACAGTTAATGAACACAATGGAAAGATGGGCAATATCCTTCATGGATCGAATGAATGCCCATTAACCAACAAACACAAGGCATATGGAGGAAAATTCAAATGTCCCTCAGCAAAGATTGGCTAGAGATAAACAACCTATGCAAAGTAATGGACATACTAATGGTTAGACTAGTAATCAAATTTATGAAAGACCATCACCTCAGTCTTAGTATGAGTCTCTTCCGAGGCCTATGGTAAATCAAAATGCCTCATTACTTAATAGTGAAACCATACAAATGGGTAAATCTGGACCAACACAAGAAAATGACATGCGAATGTTTTCAAACACATGTTCGAAGCTATATCTGGCACAAGGGGGTTCACTAATCCTTTGTTTGAATTCGCTCCCAGGGGTTGGAAGGGTTTCCTGCAGCTGGAAGAGAAACAACACATGTTCCTCCTATTACAGCACCTTTCGCAAGTCCTTTCGCAGAACAGGCTCAGAGAGGTCAACTATACCCTTAACAGCAGCCAGTACCACAGGGACAACCAGTCCCAAATATACCTCCCTATAAACCAAAAGGACCTTAGGCATAAGGTTTTTCACCAAATCCTATGTTTATTCCTCCAGTGGTAGTCCAACAAGCACAAAATATGGTTCCTATGGATCAAATTATTGATATTGTCAGAGAAATGTGTGGACATATGGCTCGGGGGGTTCAAACTCCTATGTATAGGAAGCCATACCCAGAATTGGTGGATAGGGTACATGAGTACCTAAAGGGGTTTAGAATACCAGACTTTGCTATTTTTTATGGGAATGGTAACCAGTCAACAGTAGAACACATTGTTAGGTTCGCTGCCCAATGTGGTGAATTTACCAATAATGATTACATGAAGTTAAGACTTTTTCCAAATTCTCTAACCGGGGCAACTTTTATATGGTATATTAACCTCATACCTGGCTTTATCCAAACTTGGCAGCAAATGGAGGAAGCATTTCATGCCCAATTCTTCCAAACGAAGCCAGAAGTTTCCATGGCAGACTTGGCAAGGTTGAGCCAAAGGCCTGATGAGAAGGCTGTTCAATTTATTGTCAAATTCAAAAGAGCACGAAACAAGTGTAGGGTCATTCTACCAGAGCCTAAATTTGTAAGATTAGCTTAAAATGGTTTAGAGTTTAGGCTTCGAAAGAAGTTTGACTCAACTGAGTTTCGAGACTTAGTGGAATTAACTTATAAAGTGTCTAGATATGAATCATTACTTGAGGAAGAATAAGACCAAAGTAATGCATCGTACAAGACTTATTATAGAGATTCTGATTATGAGATTGATGCAGTAGAGATCGTAGGGAAATAGCTGTGAGCTGTGAGGCATTAATTCATAAAGACACTACAACAGACCAGCAGTTTAAAAAGAAAGACCTTCATAGGAAATACTTTTTCGATTTAATAAAGGCAGATAACATTTTGATCATTTACTTGCAGTGAATTTCCTAAAGTTACCAAAAGGAGTTAATATTCCTTCTCTAGAAGAACTTAAAGGAAAAATGTATTGCAAATGACACAATTCTTGGTCTTACTCAACTAAAAAATGTA